GGTACCAGCGATTATTATTATGAGACATTTTTCAAGCCACTTAAGGCAAGATATTGATAAATACAGTTGTATTTGTCAATTCATTTTGAATGTTGTACATATTTCAATTTTTGTGAAATCTGTTATTTAACAAATAGATCTCATTTTTCCATGCGTGTGCACTCTAATAGATACACAGATGACGTCAAAATGTAGTGAGAACAACAGTCATGCACTCGACTGCGTCTCGTGCGTACTTTTTTGTTCTCACTACATTTTGACGTCATCTGTGTATCTATTAGAGTGCACACGCATGGAAAAATGAGATCTATTTGTTAAATAACAGATTTCACAAAAATTGAAATATGTACAACATTCAAAATGAATTGACAAATACAACTGTATTTATCAATATCTTGCCTTAAGTGGCTTGAAAAATGTCTCATGATAATAATCGCTGGTACCAATGCAGTTTAGTTCATACCTGTATCCTGCTGCACACCATACAGTTCTGTTCTCATACAAGTTGTCGATCCAAATGTACTCTTAGGTAGGATACGGACATATTGACCAACAGCCCCATAAAACAATGGATTTTGTACAATTGTGTTAGAATCTGTGTTTCCAGGAAATACCTGGAAAAAATGAACACAAGATAATATCACTCAACATAATTGGAAAGAAATAAATATGGACAAGAAATTCTTCTCTGAGATATAATTGAAATCAGAAAATTGTCTTTTTTAGAACTTCAATAGGCCGTTATTGCATTATGACGTAACTTTACTACAACTACCAAAGAGCCTTGCACATTTTCATTGTTATTCAGATTTTTAATGCCCTTGGAGATTAATAAAACAATTGTCACTAATTGTATTACAAAAGAAAGTTGGCAAAGCATTCTGGTAGTTGTAGTAAATGATAATATATATCCATGCTAAATGTTTACAAAGTCTAGTTGTCAATGAAACACACAAATATCTAAAATTCAAATGTTGTGCAAAAGGTCATTTACATTATAATTATGAATCCTGACTTCAATTTTCACAGACACAATATAATTGTACTAAATCACTTAATATACTAACTGCATATAAGGAAGTGCACAGTCATGTTGTATACTTAAATTAGATGTGGTATGAAATACTACCTTCACAAAACAATTCTAATGACGTTACCTGAACGATATTATTTTCTTTATAGTAGTCAGAAAATGAAGTCCCATCTGAAGATGTCTGTATCTGGTAAGTCTGCACCCATTGCCTGGATTTGTGGTCACCCTGTGTTGCTACACCACAAATTATATAAGATTTACTCAAGTCAACCTGGAGGTATGGCGAAGAATCTGACGTAGCAGAGCACCATGATGAGCCTGTCGTGTAACCAAGTCTACCATTGTATGCTTTGGTACTGGTATTGAAATTGGTTGACGATGTCATCTTGTTGTCTGGTATCTTAGCAACACTTGCAACACCAATAGTAAAGGATTTGCAACTGAAATCTTAAAGGAATGGAAATTATTTTATATTTCAATAATAATAACATTATCTGTACACCTGTTTCAAAAATGTTTTCCAATTTGAACAAGTAAAAAAAATCAATATCAGGTTTCTGGTAACATGAAATTATAAGAATTTCTGATATACTGATAAAGGCCTGAACATTAACTGATTCAAACTCTTTCTTTTCTGCACTGATTTTTGTATGTTGTAATGTTCAATAAATGGAAAAAATTAGGATGGCTACATTTTAAAATATGACATTTGACTTAACAACAACCTTATTTTCTTCCACACAGTAAAAGATACAAAACTAAACTTGATGTTCACCTACTTGCTAGTTGGGATTCTTATCTCCTTTTAATATAATAATTGAGTCACAGTATAAAACTATTGAGAAATTGAATATCAACAAATTAATAGTATATATATATACCTTTACTAACATTGACTCCATATAGCTCCACTCGTAATGCTTTGTAATTCTTGAACTTTGTTGGTGTGAATCTGACAAGCTTTGCCTTGACTGGAGCATCAAGAGTACGTTTGACTTCAGTATTCCCATCTGTATTACCAGTAAATGTCTGCATGCAGACAAAAAATGTCAAATAATTTTTTTCTGATATTTTGTTTTCTTATTTTTTATATACTTTATCCACATATTTCTTATAAGCTCACTGATTTAAGGGTGTACTGACATATACGTTGCTAGGGAAATTCAGTAGTTCTCTAAAATGACAAACAAAAGTAAAATCGCTTTCGTATTGAGTATAAGCCTTCCCAAACAAAAATAACACATTCTATGACGTCATCAATATGAAAAAATGCTATAATTTCATCAAGCAAAGTATATTAAACGATTTAAAATGGATGAAATTAATCTTTAGATCTAAGTCCGTAAAGCCAAGCATGCATTTTTAGAATGATTGCCAAATAAGCTTTTACGATTTTTTAAATGCCACAATTAAGCGAAAAATGCCAATAACTTTCGTATTTTTTAATTTTTCACCAAACCCATGCTTGGTTCTAAAGAGGAGGCTGTGAAGAACATATCAAATATTGAACACGTCCATTTGATGTTTCGCACCGAAGATTATATTTTTTAAATGATACCATACATTTTATGTTTACAAACAAAAACCTTTCAACCGGAAGTAAAAAGTTTCCCGCCATGAAAACGCACGCACGCCTGCTTCTCCGATTGGCTAGCATCGGCTAGCATAGCAACCAGGTCGTCTAGAAACGGATACGTCAGTACACCCTTAATGTGCGAGGTAAGTAGCCAAGAAAGGATCTCAATTTGAACCACACACTGCAATTTGTTGAAATCCCACGGTCATTCACTGCAGAATACTTTGAATTTTAGGTCATAGGAGTTTGTAATCATTTTCAAAAATTATTTGATTTGAATCAAACACTCTGTGTGTTAATATCAAAGATGCTAAACTTTTTTTTTAAATCAAATGAAAAACTAAAAGGTGTTGTGCTGTTTAGAAAATTTAATTTGAATAACCCCAAGCCCCATTCCTTCATTTCATAATTATCATTAGTATACCCCCAGTTATTCTAACTGGGTTCTTATTCTCATTTTGATCCTTTATGTTTACATGTCTGACAAGTCATGTACCTTGATGTTATCATTGTTTGGATACCAAGTCCATGTTGTACCATCTACAGATGTAGATATATTGTACTCTTTTGTCCATTCATCTATGCCATATTTTCCATTTCCCTTTGTAGCCACAGCACAGATAACAAACACTTTGCCCAAGTCTATCTGTAGATAGTCATCAGCCTTGCTATTCCCATTTGGTTCCCAGCAATGATCAGAATTAAACCTAGCTTTAGCAGCTCCATATTCATTGTTCAGCTCTGTGCTGGCTGTAAAACTACTGTCTGGTATGATACTACTGTCTGCAAGACCAACCACTTCAGATGGACAATCTTGAAAACCT